TGCTGGCATTCCATCAACTTGTGAAATATCACACAAACTTCTAGTTGGAGCATAATTTTTAAGGAGGTAGTTATTACTTAATTTTAAATTCTTCTAAGTGCTACATATTTTATTGTAAATTTTGATTGAAAATTTTCGACTAAACATATTTTCAGCTCAAAAAATTCCAAAAGTTTATCTGGCAATTTAAGAAATTCAATGAAAGCGGAAAAAGTGCCAGAAGATAGAGAACAAGCTTCATGTTCCACCAATCGTTCATTATCAAGGAGTTCTGAGGTGACCGAAAATTTATGGTCAGGTTGCATAGAAAATCCGGTAAATAAATAATAATACGATTATAAAGATCAGTCGGTATTTATGATTTGCTTTGATATCATTGTTGCAAAAAATCAATTCTAACGCTTATGCAACTTCTTTTTAGGTATAATTTTTAAACCTAAAAATTTCAGCCAATAAATATAAAATGATAAGGAATTTTTAGATGTAAAAATTATACCTGAGGAAAAGGAAAAGTTGCATAAGCGAGAATAATATTATCTGTAAAGCAAAATCATTAAATGCAACTTCGACTAATTTATTTCTTACATTTTTAAGTATCGAATATAGATTTGGTATCGATCGATTAATTGAAAGTTATACCTTTTTTTCGTTTTATTTTCAAAACTAATTTTTTAATCCAATCTATTATTTGTAGATATTTCCGACAGTATCAATTACACCAGCAACATCATTGTCAACCACCACATCGACGACATCATTATCATTACATCAAATGACACTTCCACCACCTTATCCACATCCTCAGGATTTAAATTCATATTTCTACAGCAGTCATCAGTATTATCAACAAATGTTAGATAGCAGTGCTGCTGCAGCATACAATAATACTTACAGTAGCTATCAAGCTGCTGCTGCAGCTACTGCTTACAATCAAAATTGTCCAATATCCGCCTATTCCGCACATCAGTATTTTTTTGGACCCAGATAGCGCAAATATCTTATAAAAAATATCGACAAAATACGAAATGATTCCTCCGAAAGGAAAAGAATTATAAAGGAGAACAAGAGAGGAAGAGATAGAGAGAGAGAGAGGAAGAGAAAGAAAAGAGAAAATTCTATTGTTTACTGAAATTAAAACTTTTTCTTCTTTATCTCTAAAATCTAAAAATATTAGAAATGATTCGTCTTTTTCAAATTCCTATATTATCTCTACTTTCTTGTATTGAATTAATTTATTCTACTACAAATTTTATCTGGAAAAATCATCTGAACTATGTTGACAGCTGAAAAAGAAAAAATTTGATACACACTGATAATGGAAGATACTTTGTAAAAAATTGGGATACTCTGATAGCATTTTAATTGAAATTATATCATTGTCCTAAATGGATTTAATCCTTCCTAATTAACATACCCACTCATTCTTTTTTCCACCTCCAATCAATAACTTCTATAATCAAACACTAAAATTCACTATTGTTTACAAAAACAAAGGACATTTTGAGTACAAAATTAAATGGCAGCTGTAAAATATACACCTATGAAGCAAATATATTACACACACATAGTAAACAGAACACACATATAGTAAACTTAAGATGCAATTATAGAGGATAAACTAAACAACTTCATTGAAGAATTATTGAAGTTCAGAATTAAATTTAAAGCTTTCATTCCAATTTAATAGTATTTCATCGAATGTGTAACATTCCAATTGAATATATATTCTCAACATTCTTGTGATTTTATTCGGAATACAATATTCAATGATATACAATATTCAATATTAGATGATTTATACGGATAAAAAAATAGGGATGTTTTGTTTAGGTATTATAATAGGATTCATTGTTTTCGTTTCTCTTTGAATCCAATTAGCATTTTTAATGGCTTATTAATTATTGCCTTTATGGTTAATATATTCCTATACTATAATATTATTGTACATTTTCACAATAATATCATCCGTTATTTTCGTGATATTTTTAAAGTCAAAATTCAATTAGAAACAAATAAATGAATAATCAAAATGACTGGTCATCATTTATAACAATTTATTGATTAATTAATGTGATAATTAATTAGACACTGAAATTTAATGATACACGAGCAGGAATTTCGCATCATCCAAGCATAAAGAGATCGAAATCCGGAGAGTTTTCCCGAATGATGATTTCTTATTAAAGTTTTGTCTCATCTATGTCTTTCATTCGGACCGACTTTGGTATTCGATATTATAGAATTAGATGCAGGTTGATAGCACGGATCGGAGAGGAATATACTTCAAAAATTTGAAGTAAGCAAAACTTCAAATAATGAATGAATTGACCGTTGTAACATGTCAGGTAAACTTGTCAACCTATATTCGAAAGAAAAACATTTGACCTGCACAATTGATTTTATAGTTTACTATTTAGAAATCGCATTGCACATCTTAGTATCTGCACGATTTTCGAGCACATGCAATGCAAGCTATATGCATTTCGCGTATTTTACAGCAACGTTCGAGAATTCTTCATTGCTATAATTCAAATGACAAAAGCTTTCATTAGGTTACAAACAGTTTTTCCATTCGATTGCTATTGAATACGTCCACTTGTGACAAACACTTGCAAGTAATAAATCGCTTGAAAATTGATGGTTAGGACGTGATGTCCAATAATGATATTAGCAATTGACAACAATCATTTGACCTTTTCACTAAAAGCAATATACCAAATGGTGTTCAACTTAACGATCTAAGACACTTGTTCAGAAGAGCATATACGGGTAAAAGGTTAAGAGTTATAAGAAATTGGCCTTGACCAATGGATAACATTAACATTTATGAAATACAATGACAGAATGACTTCATAGTAAGAAAGTAACAACTCACCAGAAAAATCTAAGCAAATTAACTATCAAGTGTAAGCGGCGTGTTATGCAATCTCAACGCTATGTTTGGGACATACAAGCCTCGTCGACAGTGTAATGTCAACGAGAAGTGACGGGAAGGTGAATTACTACCACGAGAGACCCGTCATTCATTATTCTATCATAAATCTCAGTGAAATTCTCAGGAAGATGTTTTAGATTACTTGAACCGGCTCATGCGTGTTAGGATAACTTCGCGCATTCGCGACGTATTATTTGCAGATGTGATATATGAGGGAGAGAAGAAAGAGAAAAGGAATGAGGGAAAAGAGTAAATAAATGTTGGTGTCGACAAAGAAGCAAAGAAGAATGGCAATTTGCAAACAGAGTATCCCGTCAGGAATGACAAGCAGGGAGAAATGATGAGAAGTTTGTGGTTGTCTGTTAAACTTACTTGGCTGGGAGGTGACTCGCGATCAGGAAGGCGAGTACTCCACGGTGAGGTCGGCCCATTGCACTTACGGGCAGTGACTGACCCGTGTGGCAGTCTCGAGTTGGGACTCGCCAACAGCATAATTTTTGCGTTTGGGGACAGACAATAGCGCCGTTCCCCGCCGGCGGCACTAGGTGGGTTTGGAGAAGACCGTGACACAGCGAGACGGTTACTCGCCAAGTTTGATATAATTAATTGGACCCGCATGAGACCTTTAAGCTAGTCATCCCTGTGGTCAGTGTTAAAGCAGGCTTACCTACGAGCGATTTATGTAATTCACTTTCCTCGCGCAACGCTTCATGTTTCCATTCCGTTCATGAGATTATAATGAACGCTGCTAAGACCACGATTACAGGAAACAATGGCTTTCATTATTTTGAACATAACGGAATCAGAATTTGAGGATCGATATGAAAACTAATAGAGAACATGGAAAAGGTGGGTCCGGAATCTGGCTAATCCCAAATTGGATAAATGATACGAGTGACATGTTGAGCTTACCTAAAACTGCAATAGCTCACAAAAAAATGAGTTTGAATCGAATAATTATAATCTAATACACATTTTATTACAGCTTCAAACAAATCAACAATAAGATATTTCATTAATTTACATATTCAAAAACCGCCAAGTTTTCTTAAAAGGCATGTGAACTGAAGCGCCCTCTTCGTACTGGCAATATCACACAAATTCATAAGTGGTAGATAAAGATCCAAATTAAAAGTCTGCGGATCAAGACGAGCCAGATTTAGCATCTAAAACAGAAATATTTTATATAGCAGTCTACAAAAAAAAGTAAAACGAAACTAATTCTTCATTTTAAATCTAAATTTACAAACCAGATCATGCGGAAGAAGTTCGATTATTCTTCGAGTAGCTGCGTTCTGCGGTGCAGTAGCTAGGGATACCATAAAATGGTATATGAATGTGATTGTACTCTGTAACGAATTTCACATTGCCAAATTAACTAAAACACATGTCAAACAAGGTATATATATCTTGTTTGAAGTTGTGGATAATGAAAATACCATGAAATGGCCCAAAAAATTAAATTATCAAGCCAAACGTATTTATTGAAATCTTCGCCTCCCCAGAGATTAAAATGGTTATCAAGAATCAGCACAACCGGCTACTACTATAAAACTGGGTAGGTAGTTAAGCATTCCGTCGTAGTTTTTAATATTGGTATTGTAGAAAATTTCTGCATTCTTGTATCGAGAAATCTGTATTAAAACTTCAATTAAATTTACTTTCAAATGTCCAGCTCTAGTTTCACGAATAAATTTTTCAAAAATCACTAAGATAGAACGTTCTACAGGATTCCCTTGATCGGTTTCACCATCATCACCATCATCACCTTAAAAAAAATAAAAATCTAATCATACAAAGACAAAAAATCTATAAAAATTTGAAAATCTATGTCAGCAAAACCGAATGTTAATCCCATAACAAAGCACCAACTTCTTTTCTTTTCTACGCACTCTCCTCTTGCAATTCGCGTTTGTCGTTCCTTTTGATGTCTCCAATATGCGTGCATGGCAAGTTGCAAGCAGTGCACAAGGAATCGTGCAGACACTAATGCTTTTGGCTCTACACAACCTAAAGATCAAAATGACTAATAAATCTTAAGAAGAATCAACAACAAATTTCACTAGCATATTCAAGAAACAAAATCTTTTACCAAAATCGACGTTCTGCTCAAAGATGTATTCAGTAATGCTGCGTGCAAAACTAAGCATACAAGGCACCGGTGACATAATACCAGCAGCAAGGCATAGTTCACTAGCACACAACATTTCATCATTTGTCGACAGCTTTAACATCGCATTTAACCAGACCTAAATAAATCAAAACCTGCATCGTTGTATTAAAGAAATCATAAAAAGATAGTTCATGAATACAAATGCAGGAAAAAGTCATGGAAGCCACTAAAACTGCCACGTATTCAGCTTTCGAATTTTCCGAAATGGCGCAACACGTTACTGCATGCATAAATTATAAAAATGAATGAAACCGCTGATATGTGAACCAGTGATAATATTGCACTTAAAAAAGTAATAATACCTACCATACACCAATTCTCCACAACACCGGCTTTATTACATCTGTCAACGAGCTGCAAAACATTAGGAGATCCCCAGGCTTGCTGTCGAGCGTAGGTAAATGCTTGTTTCAACATTTCTGCATCGGATGACTGTAATTGATATACTTAAAAGAATGCAAATTTAAACTAATTCCTGCAAAATAATCAAAACAGACGCAGAAAAGAAGACAGAAAACCTGGGCGTTCGTAGCAGGTAAAGTGAATGGTACAGTAGGCAGTTTTCTCTTCGCACAGTTTATAATCCATGTAAATCTCGGATCGCGCAAGCGATCACAAATGGAAAGATCGTCCAATGTACGACGGCAAGTAGCTGATGTTAACACCATGCTTGAATATTAGCTTACTTTTACTTTTAATAACAGCGCCATATTTTCGCTGAATTTAAAGAGCCAAACTAAAAAACTTAAAGCAAATGCTATATAACTGCTTCCCATAAAATTAATAGTACCGTTCTTGTTGTGTGTGATTCAGCTGGTGCGGATATTCGAGAGCTCGAATAAAAGACTTCACCAGATTCTGGCGTGCACTAGTTACAGGCTGTGAACACATCCACTGGACCAAGCAAACGATCATAAAATTAGCATCGTCTCGAAAAGCGTGCAGAACATTCTACAATTCCTTTCAAAATTTTATATATCGGAAGTGGCAAAAATATTACATATGACTCTGTATTAGTTGTACAAATGTTTTATGATGTTATGACAAAAACATTATATATATGATCCTGTATTAGTTTTGCAAATGTTTCATGATGCCCGCATAATCATCGAGATGCATTTAGAATATTTGTTCGAAAACTTCGAATTTTAATTTAGCGTGTTAACACCATTAAAATTCTTTTACACTTCAAGAGTTAAAACATTAAAATGAGTTTATACGCCACCACAGTAACAGCGTATGGTATGGCTCGTAGTTTGCATCATACCTATTTATTTTTAACACCGTCCCTTTTCATTCACTTAATACTTCCCAAAATCTTCCATTTATAACATAATTACCTTAATATTTTCATGAAGATGCTCATAATTTTCAAATTTCGTCATCTTGAAGTCGTCCAGAAGAATCTCACCAATAATTGGTACAAAATCAACCAATTCAGCATAATTCACTCTGCAAAATAATGAAAAAAAAGTATAAGTGAAGGGATATTAAACCTTTCATTTAAAATCTCCAACTCATAAAAATATTAATATTTCCACGGAGATTAATGCATTATACATAGTGTTTTATTTAAAATAGTATTCAAAAGTTAGAGCTGACATTCTTGGATCCCAAAATGGTTGCGCGCGTTTCAACATATTAACACGGTCAACGAATGCTGCTTTTTGCTCGTTAATGTAAGCATTCGGTAAACCGCAACTATCAGCTGCTGTCCAACCATAATATGATGCAAATTTATAAAAGCATGATTGGGTATTATCCATTCCACGAACTGTCCCATTTACCAGTTCGTTAGGTCGCTGCAAAAAAATTATTAAATTCAAAATAATAATACTGATATCTGTTATCCACGAAATTTATTATAATTCGCATAATAATCTTAAACAACAAGTATAAAACGACATGAGCCATCAAATATGCAAATTCTTTCGGACAATTAATGTAAAATAGAAATTACTGACGAGATCATCGTATATGAAACGAATTCTGGTTAATAAAATAAATGAAAGGTTGAAAGCAAGAGCGCGCTGACGTTCATCATCCATATCCAGACCCTCTGCTGGTCGTTCACTTTGTCCGTTGATCCTACAGAAAATCAAATAAAATTGTAATTACGATCCCCAAATAAAGATAGGCTTCATAATTAAAAAATTTACTATAGACAGATCATGGTCTTGCATATTATCATATTGATCGAAACAGCAGAAAATGAAATCAACTTTGAAAAAGGAGGAAAACTTACATCGCAAGTTTCGAACTGAAATAAGTCAAATTACCATCAGCACAGAATGAAGCACAAACAGAATCAAATGTAAAAAGTCCTCCGCTACCACTAGCGAGTTTCAGGAGAACATTTATTACAGCATTATTAGGTTGCCTCAGTATCTGAAATGGTTTATCTTTATGTAAGACTTTTTTTTGCTACATTATGTAAAAAGAGAGAGACAACAATATAAAGCAAACCTTATCTACAGCCATTTTAGCTGAATTTGCTCTTAATATAAGTGGTTGGTGTACGGGTGTGGTGGAGGTTTGTGCAAGCATCTGGTAAAGCTCTGGCCAGTATTGAGATCTGTAAAATTGAAAAGGATAGGCATGACTCAATTCAAAACTGAAATCCCTTGTCGAAAAGAAAAATCCTTCAAATCCACAAACACGCACCGTATCAACAATTCACTTGTGATGGAAGGTAATTGCCGCTTAATAAAGCAAATTACCATCAGCAATAGAAACAGACATCTTGCATGCTTATTATGCATAGCAATAATACCATCACTAACTCATAAAATGTACTTTGGAAACTTATAACAATTTACATGGTAATGCAATAATTCCCTAATTGCCAAATAATGAGTAAAAGTGCTACACTTATAGTCAATGAAATTGATAAAATTCAACATTTAAAAAATAGCACTTTGTGATTCCTAAAAACTTATATGTTGCACTTCTCTACTTTAAATACCTTTTTTCGAGCAAATTTTTCAAAACGTCCTCATCGATGACACCTGCTGCGGCCATTTGTTCAAGTAAATGTTGGAATGTATTTGTCTTCGTCTTCATGTCTACCTAGAAATATCACTAAAGCTATTTATTGATTTTAAGCGAATAAGCGAAATTCTTTTCTCATCATTTTGATATTATCCAACATCAGTATTCATTATAAGCGGTAAACAGTTAATAATTGAATTATCAGCTAATAATTGAAACTTTTTCACATGTCAACGTAATGTTTAATGCAGAATGTAAGCCATAAAATTTAATACAAATTGAATTTTACCTGATTTAAAAGAGTTTTATTATCGCAAATTGTATCAAGTGCAGTGATCAAGTCGTCAAGTGGAGCGCCAAGAATTAGCAGATGCTTAACAATCTGTGGAAGTTTCACGTAATAAAATGCTTGCGATGCTACCAGCTCTTCACCCAATGATTCTTTAGCATCGAG